ATTAGATTTTATGTAGCAATTATTATATTTGTATTGCATATTTTACTATCTAAATAAAGTTTATAACATAAAGTTACCAGAAAACTTAACAACTCAAAGTCCCCACCCAAGTCCAGCAGTGTAATGTAACCTGTCTCCAGAGCTCCAGCACCTCTTTCCTCCTATGTAATAGAAAACAGCTGTCTGGCTTATTTATGGTTTTTACTGTTTTTATTTCACTGTTTTCATTGCAGAATGTATATATGCAATCTAAACAAATAATTATGCATTCTGATTTATGTAATGACTTCTACTCAACATTTTGTCTTTAAGATGTATGTATATTGCTACAGTATCTATATTTCATTCATTTTCTTTGCTGTCATATATTTCATACTATTACTATAATACACTTTGTTAAATATTCTACTGAGAAAAAGATAGATCTTTAGTATGTTTGCAATATTTGTCTTCTCCAAATTCAAGCTTACTTCCTTTTTCTTGGTCACTAGTTAACAGATCTGATTCTTTTTTAATTACAGCCAGTTTATTCAGTTATTTTCATAGAAATATTTCTCCTGATTTCTTTCATTAGATCTGCGTTACTTGGGTTTTTTTCTTTTTGGTAGTTGTCTTCCGTTTTGCAGTTTTGAATAACTGTCTCACCTTTAGCTCTGCTTTAGCTCTAGAAATACTAAGCTTTCAATGCGTCTCTTAAAGGAAATTTATATTTTGCTTTTGTCAAGAGTTCTAAGTTATCATTGGATTAGGAGTTCCTGATAAAGTCAGTCTTATAATACTTATAAGCTGTGCATTTCCTCAGACTCAGACACTTTTCTTTCCTTGGAGACGGTGGTTCCTGCCTGTTTATATTCTCCCTTTCAAATGTTCTTCCATGCTTTCTTTCTCCCTTTCCTTCCTTCTCCTTCTTTCTCTGACTCCCTTTCTCTTCTTCTCTCACCCTATTTCCTTGTCTTTTTAAATGCCCTAAAATACTGAGGAGATAGCACTTTGTTTTGCCATCTGACTTTATGTGGTGGTCTTAAAATTTCTTCATCTTGTACTCTCGAGAATTCTCCCTTTTCACAGGAGAGCTTTAATTCTCATTCCTTGGCTACTGGCCTGGGCAGCCTCCTTCCTAATATCTCATGTGCAGTCTCTGGGTTTTAGATTTCTCTGTTTTGACTCCTCCTCACCCCCACCTTTTCTTTTAACCAGATAAACTTCGTATTTTTAAGAAAGTTTAATTTGTTTTACTGAGTATTCTTGCTATTTTTTTTTAAAGATTTATTTATTTATTTGTGCATACAGAACTGGGGTACAGGCCAGAGGCTCAGGGGTGGTGAGAGACTTCACCAGAGATAGAGTCAGGAACAGAACAGGCAGATCAATGAAGTACACTGCTGAGGGGAGCAGCGGGTGGGTCAGGAGAGGTCTGCCACACCATGTGGTCACCTCCGGGGCAGGCGGGAATCGAACTCATGCGGAAGCGGCTTTAGATTCTCAGTGCTGTGCTTTAACCCGCTGCGCCACCAGGGAGGGCCTATTCTTGCTATTTTTAAAAGATTTATTTATTTATGTATACAGAACTGGGGTACAGGCCAGAGGTGCATGGGTGGTGAGAGGATTCACCAGAGACAGAGTGGGGAGCAGAACAGGCCGACTGATGAAGTACACTGCTGAGGGGAGGGTAAGGAGAGGTCTGCCACACCATGTGGGTCACCTCTGGGGCAGGTGGGGATCGAACTCATGCTGAAGTGGCTTTAGCTTCTTACTGCTATGCTTTAACCTTCTGTGCCACCAAGGAGGACCCACTCTTGTTATTTTATAGAGGAAGCATATTTTGGCTTCTCTGCTTTACCAATCTTTTGACATTTTGTACCAGATTACATCCTATTTCAGGTTTTCATAGGTTGTTCTGTTTGTTTTTTGGTTGCCAGTATCCGAAACTCAGATGAATTGACGTACTTGAGAAACAGATGACTGCTGGCTTCAGTTATAGCTAGTTCTTAAGCAGTGTCACTTGAGCTCACTTTCTCCCTTCATTAATCCAACTTTCCTCAATGATAGGTGTGTTTTTCTGACTTTATTTGCCATTTAATGAGGGAAAGCCATCACTGCAATTTCTAGGATTTAAGTATCTTGTACAGTTTATGGTCTATCTTATTTATCAACTATAACATCAACCCTAAGGAAAATTATTTTATATATTTGACCCACTTTGCCCTTTTTGGACTAGCTATGTAGCCTGTGGACTTAGATTACTTTTATAGTTAGCCAGACTTATTCATGCGCCCACCTCTGTCAAATAAATGAGGATAGGTATGAAAGACAGCTCTACTAGCCCACATAGTTTTCTTCTTAAAGAGAAACTAGCTCCATTTCCCAACAATCAGAAAAGTGCTAGGAAGATAACTGTGTTATGGGTTCACACTGCACTTCTTACCATCGGACCTCTTGTCAGAAATCTAGCCTAAGATTTGAGAGTACTAACTTTCAGCACTACCACTGCTTATGACTGAGTATTCTTGTCAGTCCAATAAATTAATTAGCTGTTGGTTAACAAACTAGATCCCTTTCCTTCCATTTTTAAGTTCTATCAATTTCATTTTCTGAACTCCCTGGGGTCTGCTTTTTTTTTTTTTTTTTTTTTACCATTAAGTATTCTTGTCAGTCCAATAAATTAATTAGCTGTTGGTTAACAAACTAGATCCCTTTCCTTCCATTTTTAAGTTCTATCAATTTCATTTTCTGAACTCCCTGGGGTCTGCTTTTTTTTTTTTTTTTTTTTACCATTAACCCTTTAATTTAAGATCTAGTACTCTCTTTTCTGATCTACAAAGATGAAATCTTTACTATTCCGTCCATATCTTCTTTGGTTCCCCTTCATTCTCTTCACAAAATTGTAGTGTAATAATCTATCCAAAATGCAAATCTAATTATGTGCTTCCAGCCCTCAATCATATTTCAAACGTTTAAAACCTTTCATTAGACAGTTCACTATTAACAAGATTTGCATCTAGCTCATTACTACCTTCCCAACTATTTGAGGTCAAGCATTCCCTCTTGTATAGACTATATATTCTTACAGTGCCATCTACCTCGCCCATTAACATTTATTATTAGTTTGACATTTGTGTGGTTAAATTCAATGGAAGTCTGATTTTTCCACTGGAGTATGAAAGCAGATACCATGTATGTAGAGTACACGTAGCCATCAAATGATAAGTGTGGAGATATTTCAAGTTATATGCAAATACTTTGTGTTCATGTGATAATATGAACAGGGAGTAATTTGAAAAGAAAATTTGGATTATAATGTGGTATAGGTACACTGATTAAAGTCAGCAAGGAATAGACCATTGGACTGGTTGGGTGTCTTTTTTTCCCAATGGCAATGTAAGTTATTTATCCTAGTTGAAACTCCTATTTTCCTTCTGGATTCTCTAGTATTTTATATTCTATTGCATTAAAGATTTGCATGCTGCCAGGACCACTTGCTTTTAGACAAGAAGTGGGAGGTTAATACTAACTTCTGTATCAGGAACCCTTGGGCTTGAGGACCATACTACCACAGATAGCTTGCCAAAAGGCAGGAGGAGTAACTTCTGTCACCTCTCCTGTGTATTAGCCCCTTTCTTTTTATACTTTTAGTTGTACCCTTCCTTAGATATGTATAACCCATCTCTTCTGTAGCTCCTTTGAGACTACTACATGGCTGAGCAAAATTGAAATGACTTTATGAATAAAGATGAAAAATGTTTAGTTGATATAAATAGGTATAGTTTCTGATTCTGTGTACAGGTTTGAGTAGAATTTATATTTAAATATAACTCAATTTTCAACTATAATAGCATTGCTGGTATCAAAATTTATGAAGATAGTTAAAATTGTACATTTATTCAACAGTAAAAGAATTTGTGTACATTAATAAGTTTATATACTTGAATATATTTTTATAGCTATGGGATGAATTGACAAGAGTTGATACAATTAGAAGAAAAAAAAGAAAACGTTAGAACTTGTGATGCAGAACAGCACATTTGATAAATACAGCAACATTATGCCCCCCAAATTTATTCTTGTTCCCAATCTAACAAGTACTAATTTTCAATCACATTTAATACTGGTTGTATAATTTTTCTGTCTTATATTCCTTTAAGCATCATTGTAACAGCACAGTTCCTAGCCTGTGGATAAATAAATAATCAGTTAGTTGAAAGAATGAAGAAAAGTGGGTGAATAGTAAATAGATAAATGACAAAATTCTAGACTTCACATTGCAGATAATATACAGGTCAACTTTGCATCAAAAGTGAAGAGTAATCTTTTAATTATTTACATATAGAGGAAAGGATCGATTTGAACATGAATTTTTAGAAGTTAGATTTATGATATCTGAAATACAGATTGTAAATAATATAAACTAACATAAGTTGTGATTGAAATGAGATTATGAGATACATATTTTTAAGTGTAGGAATAGTTGTTATTAGATTCAGGTGACTTTTAAACCTTTGTTACCATTCTAACCTGATTTTGGAATTTTATGAAGTAAAATTTTTTACTTCATACTTAAAATGAATTGGTTTTCATTTCTAAACAACTGTAGATTTTAATTTAATAAAATTGAATCAATGTATTTTATAGTGCATCTTTTGTTTGATTTAATGCTATTGCTATATATCTTAGAAAATATTTCTCTTACCTTTGAATCAATACATTTAATATCATCTTTTTGTTTTCCATGTATAAATATTTAAATATGGTTGCTGATAAAGAATGTGGACTGTAGTGTCAAATTTGAGTTATAGTATCTAACCTGCTGCATATGAGCAAACACAATTTAGTGAGCAAATTATTTAAACCTTAGGAGGACCTTTTGTAAAATGCAGAAGATATCTACTATAAAATTTGCTTGAAAGGTTATAATAAATATATGTAAAGAGCTTAGCATAGTGTCTGGGATTTGATAATTATTAATTGGGAACTGTTTTTTCTCTACTATGTATGTTCTGCAGCTTTCCCCACAAATAAACCAGATAGAGATGCAAGGCATGTAATAAAAGTGGTAAGTATTGCTCTTTTGTAAATACTTATTTCATATATGTTTGACTTTTTTCTTTGATATTTTGACCTTTTTATTTTTATCTTACTTTTCAGTTTTACTTATCAATAAGCCTAATATTACATTTGTATATTATTAAAGTGTAAATACTAGAAAGCTTGGGGGCCTCCTTGGTGGTGATGCAGGAGTTAAAGTCCCAGTGGTATCTAGCTACCACCAACTACTGCAGCATGAGTTTGATCCCCAGGAGGGAGGCACAGCAGACCTCTCCTGTCTTGCCTCTTGCTCCCTTGGACAATGTGTTTCAGTAGTCCCACCTGTTCTGTTCTCAATTATGTCTCTGGTGACTCCTCCCACCCCCCATGCCCCGGCTCATCTCCCACACCTCTGGCTTGTACCCCAGTTCTTTTATCACAGATAAATCTTTTAAAAAATGCTGGAAAACTTTGTTTTGTATTAACATTTATATTTTGCCTCGTATCTAGCTAGCTTTCTTTTCCTTCTCCACTCCTCCTTTCCCTCCTCCACCTCCCCTATTTTAAATTGTAAGTTCCTTAAAGACAGGGGTGGGGTTTTCTTTTTCTTTTCCTGTACCTAGTAAAGTGAATGAAGTACTGTAGACACCTAGTTAAAAGCATCATATATAAGTGAACCCAGAGTGGTTAGCAACATATTCTACTTGAGGTGCATGTTAGCATACAGTGAGTTTCTGTGTATGTGTGTATACAAATCTCAGTATGTTTATGAACATCTTTCCATTGGAAGATAGCTTTCATGTGTAAGGCAGTATGGTGGCTATATTACATTACGTTAAAATTTAAGATGAGGTTTTTCAAATCTATTGAATGCTTTGCAGAGATCTCTAGTGGAAGGAAACCTAGTACATATGTTTTATAACAAATGATTCAAATACAATTATGTATTACATATGCATACTCAAATTTCAGTTGAAACCCTACCTGCATTTTTAAGATTCTTTACCAGTAACATTATTGTTTTATTTTATAGGAATATCAAGAAAATGGCCCATTATTTTCAGAACTTAAATTTTATCAAAGAGTTGCCAAAAAAGACTGTAGTAAGTAAATTAGCATAGTTCATATCTGTGTTTGCTAAGTTGATTGTTAATATATTTGTCTTTCTGGCTTTCTGGAAAATTCTGTTAGAAACTATTGTAAAATGATACATTGTTTATAAGTTTAAAAAAATTAAGATGGATGGATAATACAAAAATCTTTATATATTATCTAATGACAGGTTATACTTTTTAACTCAAAATTGTTACTGCTTTACTTTATATAAAATGGTTGTTGATGTAAACTCTAAGAGTTCACTAAGCATAAATATACAGTGTAACTGTTTGTTTTATAAAAACCCATTTGGTTTGGAAGGATGAATAAAAGGCATTAAAACTGCATGGACACATCAACAAAAGGAATGCTCAGAGAATGGATTGAGGTCAGGTGTATGGAAATGATTAAATGTTAAGATGTTAGAAATCTGAATGTTAGGATATTTACTGGAGCTGGATTATCAGGTATTGGAACTACCTATTAAAGAAGTTTACTATTTAATAATATGAGTTGAACTGAAGAATAAAAGTGGAGGAATTAAAGACATGGGTATGAGTAATGACTAGTATAGTCAACATTTTAAGTTTGTTTAGGAAAAAGAATGATGAGTCTGGCCCCAATAATTAACTTTGCTTTCCTTATTAAAACCTTTTAGACATTAAAACTGTAGTCTTTACTCTGTTTAAATTATGTCACAGTGACAAATAGAATCCATTAAACTTGACTTTTTTTTTTTTATCAGTAGAGCTGTCTTAAACATTAAGCATATGGTAGAAAAGTGAAAAATTAAATAAGCTACTTGATGACTTAAGTGGATTTGTTTTTTTATATGAAATTTAAAACAATTTCTGTATAACATAATTCAAAGTAAAATATTTTTTCTGTTTATTTTCTATTTCTTTTTTACTACCATGCCTTTATATATATATTTTAATGAGAAGATCCACCAGAGACAGAGTGGGGAGCAGAACAGGCAGGTTGACAAAGTATACTGCTGAGGGGTGCAGCAGGTGAAGACAGAAGAGGCCTGCTGCCCCATTTGGGTTACCCTCCTGGCCAGAAATCGAACTCGTGAACTTGTGCTGCAGTGGCTTTGACTAGCTTCATAGTGAGCCCTTTAATCCATTGTGCCACCAAGGAGGGCCTGCCTTTAGATTTATAATTACTAGGGAAGAAAAAACCGTCCTTCTGCTGATCCTTTGGTAGTTAGTATATTATCTTTGGAAATTTGACTAACATCTAAAGAATATTTTTTCCCGAGTAGGAACATTTGTGAATATATAGAAGACTGACTACTTTTATTTTGGTTATACTTGACTGAATATTTTTTTAAAGCTTTATTTATTTTTGCATATGAACTGGGTACAGGCCAGAGATTCAGGGGCTGTGAGAGTGGGGAGCAGAATAGGCTGACTTGGTGAGGTACACTGCTGAGGGGAGTAGGGGCAAGCCAGGAGAGGTCTGCCATGCCATATGGGTCAGCTCCGGAGTGGGGATCGAACTCACGCTGAAGTGGCTTTAGCTTCTTTGTGCTGTGCTTTAACCTGGTGCACCACCAGGGAGGGTTCAGTTGACGGAATTTTTAGTTTTTGTTTTTGTGTTAATTGTTGTTGTAACAAATAGAGTGAACTTTAAAAAAAAATATTAATTCTAAATTTTTTTCTAGAAAGATTTAATTTCTATTGAGGTTATTAAAGAAATAAGCTTTAGCATCTATGGAAAATAAAAACTATTTTTCTAAAAATCTTGTATCTTTTTCTTGTTAAATTTGTCTTTGTAGTTAAAAGATGGATAGAACACAAACAACTTGATTATTTAGGAGTTCCACTCTTTTATGGATCTGGTCTGACTGAATTTAAGGGAAGAAGGTAAATGGATTTATTATAATCAAATGTTGTCCTATAGCTATTCCTTATGTGGTCTATTAGATGTCACTTGCTATACAATAAATTACTCAAAACATATGACTTATAACAACAAATTAACATTTTTTTAGTCTTTGTGGCCCAGGAACCTATGGCAAGTTTACCTGGCGATTGCTTGCTCAGGCTTCTCACAAGAGTGAAGACAGTGTCTGCTGGGCTGCAGTTACTTCAAGACTCAAGTGGGGAAAATGTGCTTTCACCGTCAATGATGAGGCTGTAGGTGGGATGAAGAAGATAGGCTTCAAAATTCACTCATTTAATTGCTAGTATCCCTCACTTTCTTAACCACATGGGTCTCTGTAGAGACTGCCTGAATGTTAGAAAGACATGGCAGCCTATTTTCCCTATATGGAAGGGAGGATGAGGACAAAAGTAGAACAAAATCTCACACACAAGAGCATGCATCCAAGAAGAAAGACAGTGTTATGTATAGTCTAATCATAGAAGTTATGTCCCATCATTTTACTGTATTATCTTTGTTAGAAGCAAGTCATTACTTTAGAGGAAACTTAAGTTCCACTTCTTAAGGAGAGGCACAATAATGAAACAGTAAAAATATCTTTAAAATCACCAAATATAGTTAGTCATCACATAATTCATTAAAAGTGGTTTTAAAAATGTCATTCATTAGATATCCATTTGTTTCTTTCAATAAGTTTTTAATATAGAGATATTATGTTTATTTCTTAGGTGATAAAGGAGATCCTGAGGTCGATGCTTTGCTCAAACTTTCTTAGAGTGTTATAAGTCAGAATAAAGTAAACATTAATGGGATAGTATTGCAAAAAGTATGCTGCATAAAAGTGCACATACAATTAGGTTTTTGTAAAACAATTTATGGAAGGTCAAAAAACAAAATGGTGATGGATAATAACTGGACTTACTCTAATGATCATTTCACAATTATTACATAATACACCTAAGGCCAATATAAATTTGCATATCAATTGTTATACAACTTAAAATAACAGAATAAAAAAATTAAAATTAGCTGAATAAAAATAAGACCTGTATGGACCAAAAATTTCTTCAATATCATTATAAGAAAGTGGTGGAGAAAATTTAAACTCAAGATTACTTAATTTAGAAAAACTGCTCTCTCTTCCTAATCTAAGATAGTGTGCGAGTGGTTTGGCACAACATTCTTGACTACTAGAAAATTAACTGTAAACTAAATACTGAGGATTATCTTTCTGCAAAGAAGTAGAAAAACAGATTATTAATGCATAATCATTCTCTACTGGCTAATACTCCCTTGGGTCATACTCCATTGTTAGGTTGGGCATATTTTTCTTTGTTTCAAATTTGTCACTATATGGTTTCAGGCATTACTAAGCTCTCTTAATATCTCCTTCTCACAGATACAGATTTATGGTAATGGAAAGACTGGGAATAGATTTACAGAAGATCTCAGACCAGAACGGACCTTTTAAGAAGTCAACTGTCCTGCAGTTAGGTATCCGCATGGTAAGAAAGAATGACTTGTTTTATATACTCTGTTTTCAGATTATTTGCTTGTTACAGTATACAAATCTTTGCCCTTTCTAAAATTATCAGGGAAGAATTATTGCCCTAGAAATGTCAGTTCTTATAAATAGAGGCCATTTTGGTGAAATTGATAACAGTGGGCTTTATAAGTGACAGAATATGCTGTGTTTGGCAGTACAAACTCAATTAGGCATTGACTCTAGGTTTGAGTTGTTTTTTCCCTCCCAGCTTTATTTACATACCAGAATAAACTTGCTATAAAAGGAAAAAGAGAGGAACACCTCTTGTATCAGTTATATTTATAACAATGCAAACAATATCAAAATATATTATTTTCCATTCTAAATATGTGATGGTATGGTAGTGATATAAAGTCTTTACTGTAAGTTTGGTGGGAATAATTAGTGTGCAATGAATAATGCATACTTAGTCAACTATGAAGCAAGGAAATCTTAATAGCACCCATGAGCACATTTAGTTTATATCACATATATGTCTTATCTTGTTTGTGTTTGGTTTGCCTAAGTTCCATTTTGTTTTTCCATATTAAATAGAATGAAACTATTTCTGCCAGGGATATGGCAAATAGAACTCATTACTGTTCCCAGTCTTCCATTTATCTACCTAGGTGGCCTGCAAATGTTTGTTGAGCTCTGGGTATATGTAATATACAAGGCTCAAGAACTTCAAAGAGGAAGCTAAGGAGTTTTCTATTACCATACAGAGGGCAAATGCCTTTCTTCATGCTCATGGAAATGGTGTTTTGGTTTGGGGGGGTCCCCCAAACTTGATTTATGATTATCATTTGGGTGAAGACATACTGAGTAGGCCTCATGGTTATCTCAACATAGAGCTCTAGTTGTACTAGTTTTTTTTTTTTTTTTCTATCGCACAGCATGATTTGGCCACTACCCTGTCAAGAGTATAGGCAATAGGTATAAGCATTGTTGAATCTTGGTTTCTTTCCATCAGAGGTTCAATTACAGTACTTGATATTTGAGGATCAATTTATTCAACTTTTCTCCAGGGTGAGCAATAAGTACTTGTGATATTTTAGGATAGAAAATAACATATTTGTTAAAAGCATCCCTTTGTCATTGATAATATGAAAACAACCCCCACACTATGCTATAATCAAAATGTTCAAGTTGATCATAATTTCTAAATAAACAGCAGTATAACCTTATCTATTTCTTTTCACAGTTGGATGTATTGGAATATATACATGAAAATGAATATGTTCATGGTGATATAAAAGCAGCAAATCTACTTTTGGGTTACAAAAACCCAGATCAGGTAAATACAGTATTAAGCTCTTGCCTTCAGTCCATGCCCTCAAAGTATCATACTGAGACATTAACAAACTCCTAACCCAAAAGAGTTTACAAATGAGACTTAACATGAATATTACTTTGTCTGACCTTGAATAACTAGTTCTTTACAATAAACTAATAAATAATTTGAATAAGGAAACAGACTGAGAGGTTTAAATAATTTGTTAAAGGAGATGTTAAGATGTGGCTGAGGAGGTATTTGAACTTCTGAGCAAATACAGATAAAGAACTGTCAAAAGCCCAATGGGAAAAGTGAAACATTTATGCAGAGAAAAAAATAAAAGCTGTCACATTAATTTCTCTTCTAATGCATAAACCATTAAGTTGTAAGCAGAGTAGCAATTCCAATGCAGATTTCTGTGTTGTTGGAAATATTCTTTGTTGCTATTCATTAAGGTAACCATTTGCCACTAATGCTGTTGAGCACTGGACATGCGGGTCATATCACACTAAATGCTGGTGGGCACGTGGAGCCACAGGAATGCTCATTCATTGCTGGGGAAGTGCAAAATGGTACAGTCATTGTGGAAGACAGTTTGGCGATTTCTTGTACAGCTATAATCTTAACATAGGATCTGGCATTCATATTCCTTGGTATTGTCCCAAAGGAACTGAAAACTTAGATCCACCAAAAATATATACAGAGGTGTTTATAAAAACTAAGATGCTTTTCAGTTAATGAATGGATGAAAAAACTATAGTACATCCAATATTACTCATTGTTAAAAAGCAATCAAACCATGAATAGACATAGGATCTTAAATGCATATTACTAAGTGAATTAAAGTCTCCTGGGAATGACTACATTCTTTATAATTACAGCTGTGTAATATTTTGGAAAAGACAAAATCTTAGAGATACTCATAATCTTAGTGATCACTGATGATAAAGCAGAGGAAGGAATAAATAGGAGGAATATAAAGGAGTTTTTAAGAAAGTCTGTTCACTATATTACATTGGTAGGTGCATGCCATTATAAATCTGCCAACACCCATCAAATTTCAAATGCCAAAAGTGAATCCAAATGCAAATTACAGATTTTTGGTAATGATGATGTGTCAGTATAGGTTCATCCATTGCAACAAAAATTTGTGCTGTGGGATGTTGATAGTGGGGGAGGCTTTAGAAAGAGAAAATGAGTGTATGAGTATAGTCAGTAGGCTCTGTGCCTCAAATTTGCTAGTAGTTTTAAGTAAGATGTTTCGATTTTCAGTCACTGATACAAAGTACCTTTCATGTATTCTTCTTGACCATTTGCTTGTCTTTAGACAAAGGCTTTTTCCCTGCTTTTCAGTTGGGTTGTTTTATTGCTACTGCATTGTGTGAGTTCTTAAATTCTTTGGGTTTTAATCCATTATCAGTTACATGACTTGCAGATAGTTTCTTCCATTCTGTAGGTTGCCTTTTTATTTTGTCAATCCCTTTGTTGTGCAGAATTGTTTTATTCTGGTAGAGTTTTATGTTTTGGTTTTATTGCTTGTGTTTTTAATGTCAGTCCCAAAAAGTCTTTACCAAGATTGTGTGCTTACATTGGAAGAATTAGACTGTCCATGCTACTCAAAGTAATCTAAAGATTCAGTATAATTCCTATCAAAATTTCAGTGACACATTTCATAGAAATTTAAAAAACAATTCTAAAATGTGCATGGAACCACAAAAGACCTTGAATACCAAAGCAACTTAGAGAAAGAAGAAAGCTGGAAAAGGCTTCATGCTTCCTGATTTCAAATTATAAAGTGTAATGAAAACATTATGCTACTAATATAGAAGGAGATCCATACATGTATGGTAGGCTATAGGAGATAGCACAAAATAAACTTATGCTTGTATTACCAACAATCTTTAAGAAGGCTGCTAAGAATATACTGTTGTGAAAGGGTAGTCTGTTTAATCATAGGTGTTGAGAAATTGGATACCTACTTGAAAAGAATGAAATACTCTTATTTTACACCAAACACAAAAATTAACTCAAAATCAATTTAAGACATATGTAAGACATGAAGCTACAAAAAAGAGGAAACATTTTAGTTGTTTTTTTTTTTGAAAGATTTATTTATTCATGCATACAGAACTGGGGTCCAGGCCAGAGGTGCAGAGGCAGTGAGAGGATTCACCAGAGATAGTAGGGAACAGAGTAGGCTGACTGACAAAGTATACTGCTAAGGGAACCAGCAGGCGCATCAGGAGAGGTCTGCCGCACATATAAGTCACTTCTGGGGCCAGGAGTCCAACTCTTGCTGAAGTGGCTTTAGCTTCTTAGTGCTGTGCTTTAACCTGCTGCGCCATCAGGGCGCACATCTTAGTTTTAATTAATTTAGATTTCAGAACCACGTGACTTGTAGCTGCTGTATCATCAGAGATTAAACAATTTTAAATATCTTAAAGCTGCCCCAATTTGGTGATTCTCACCATTAAGTTTGAGTAAAGAAATATCCCATTAAAGAAATTTTGAAACTCTATAAAAAAATTGAGAAATAGTTTAATATTTAACTAAACTCTGCATGAAAAAGATTTTTCAATGAAAATGCAAGAGAAAATAATCTTTAAAATGTTGAGAAACTTCAGCTTGCAAATGTGTATTTAAAAAATTTAAATGAGGGCCCTCCGTGGTGACACAGTGGGTTAAAGCACAGCACTAAA